ACAATGGTGGTTTTTCGTGACTTAAAAGCAGCATTTGACTCGGTAGACCGCGAGATTCTGTGGCAGTGTCTGTCATTGAAAGGAGTACCTCAGAAGTACATAAACCTTGTGAAGGCTTTTTACTCGAACACTACCAGTCGAGTTAGAGCTTATGGCGAACTGTCATCTGTTTCTGTAACCTCAAGTGGTGTCCGGAAGGGCTGTCAGTTATTTATATTTTCGTTTAACTTCATCATAGACCTACTGATGGAAATAACGTTTTCGTCGACTGAATCTTTGGCCATTGATCTCCTACCAGGCGGTCCACTTATTGACTTAGAATACGCAGATGATATAGTCCTTTTTGGTGAAGACGCTGATCAAGTGCACTCTTTTCGTAGCACTGAGTAACAATGCCAGGATGTTTGGGATGCGATCCTCCACCTCTAAATGCAAGTTGTTGCTTCAGGACTGGTCTGAGTCAACACTCGAACTAAGGATAAGGAGTGAAGTAGTTCTAGGTCTACAGAGTGCTTATTCTGCCCTCGTACTTAGTGCTATACCTACATTTGCCAGTCCACGAAAACTAGCCCTCTTCCGGTACCCTAGAATCTCGTACCATTGATGTATCCTGTCTCCAAAACCCGCATATAGGATCCTAGTGTGTTCCTTCACTTGAGCTCACCTCGCCAAAACGGAGACCCGACAAGATACACTTCCGTGTGTCTGGCGACCCGATGGCTAGTTTTCGTGGACTGGCAGATTAACTATAGCCTTTTGAACTTCTGCTAGAGTTGGGAGACCTACTTCATCGTTCCATTCACACTGTCTGGGAATGGAGGGTAGTTGTAGAGTAGCTGAAGGCCAGCCGAAATAGTCCTTAAAATGTTCTGACCATCTTTCTAAACGTCTGGGTTGAGGGCAGATAAATGTCTTCTTTTCCTGAGATCGTCTCACCTACACTTGACTTATTAATTCCAATTCCTTTCATTAGTCTGAAAAGCTGTCTTGTGTTACCTACAGTCGCTGCCTTTTCCATCTCTTTTGCTTTCGTTGCCCACCACTGCTCACGGTCGTTCCTTAGACTTTTGGTTAACCTAGATCTGATTTGTTGTCGCTCTTCATCGTGTTCAGAGCCTGATGGGATGAGTTTACGGGAATCCATCAGTGCAATAGACTTAAAAGTCCTTTGGTTTTTTGTGACTTTGGTTTAAATCATTAATAGATGTCGCTGCTTGTTGCACAGCTGTTTTTTTCAAGCATCATCTGGGTCAGCCTCGTTTTCAGAACTACCTAAATGTGACCTCAGTTGTTGCAGGAACCAACTTTTGTTTTACTCATTACTCAATTCAATCCTAATGGGTCTTCTTCCGCATTCAGTGGGGCGCATGCAGATGCGTGCCCGTATTAGAGCATGACCGGAGTCCAAACAGGTATTCCAGAACAAGCGACAGTTTCCTATCGACCCTCTCCAACGATGACTGATGGCAATACAGTCTCTTTGAATCCATCGTTGATTTGATGTAGGTGGTCGCCATGTTAGACGATGTCTCTCCTTATGCTTAAAATTAGTGCTTGCTGAAAAAATTAACGGTTGTCTGAGCACAATTGCAGCAGATAATCACCATTATCTGTTCGCTGTGCCGAGATACTAAAATACCCACCTAAGAGTCTTTCTGTTTGGTTTAAGCTACCTACTTGGAAATTCGAGTCACCCGCTACGAGTACTGTCTGAGCGCTTAGCTTTATGAAGTTCAGAGAGCTTTCTGCAAAAGTCACTTTTCACTTCATCCGTGTTGCAGTCAGTGGAAGCGTAGGCAGAAACGATGAAAAGGAGACATGTGTCCCTATCCTTCCGAATTCTTACGAAGCCGTTTATCCGAACAGCACATAGACGACTGTTAACGGGGATCCACTCTAATAGTGCTTGTTCTACCCTCGTGCTATGCCTACACCCGTCAGTTGTCTAGTGTAATAAAATGTCTGACTATTTTTCAAAACTAATTCAAATGAAACCAGTGTTTCAATACCGATTGACACCTGATCCGTTTATAGAAACTTTGAGTATTGCATTTAACTAAATAGCAATTTCGTACAAATAGTTGTCTGCAACCAATGCTCATCTATGCTTTTCGTGGGATGGTAGCTAGTCCTGAACTTAGCTCGGTTTGATTTTTAGTTGTAACAGAAGCTGCAACCAATTTGCAGATACTGATCCTTTGACAACGACGAATTGTCGGCCACTGAAAAGTAAGGTAAGTTTAGCGCAAACAGAACATGATCCGAGTTCAGGCAGGTACTCCAAAAGGAGAGACAGTCTTGTGCACAATCACGCTAACGGTAGCTGATCGCAATGTGATCAACCTGAGTCCAGATTCGAAATGCAAGGGAAGGACGGCAGGTAGCACATCGGCGATGACTGTGTTAGTAGAAACAAGTTGTAGTCTGCGCACAGTTACAGTAGACGGTCACCGTTATCTGACCTGTGACCAGCAAGTCCCCATTGGCCACTTAAACGACTCTTTACTGTGCCTAGACGCCCGACCTAAGCATTCAGATCTCCGGATATCTATCGAACGTACTTTCGGTAGAACTGTTAACTGGTAATAAAACTCATTCTTGATTGCATCTGGGCTGCAATCCGTCGAAACATAGGCGATGACGAAAATACATCGTTCCTCACACCGATTTCTTCTTACTTTGATGGAACTTTCTAACCTAACATCACATAACTAACTGTTAATGGGGATCCAATCAATCAGTAATGCCTCAGCTCTAGAAATTAGTGCGACAATAACGCCAGTAAAACCAGACGAAGATGCCAAAGGGACCCCGGATAAACGCACATAAAACAAGCTTTTCGAGGCGATAGATGGAGAGCGAATGCGTTGTACCTCACTAACATTGAATACGGGTCTCGGATAGACAACGGACGTCGATATTAGAACTTTCTAAAGACACAGCCAGCCCTATCTGTTATCCGATCTGCATTAGTCTGCGAGGTAGGTGGTTCTCTTGGGGGACCACACCCGGAGTCTTAGACCTAAAGGTCCAACCCATAAGACAGTGGAGCAACGTAAGGAGATGCAGTCTCATGGCAGCCGGTGACCAATAACAGGTTTATATGCCATTTGGTTCTTCAGGATCCTGGAGCCCATGTGCACCATTGGTTTGAAACCTGGGTTTTCCAACCAACCCCCTAGGTAGGTCTTCCGTGTTCATCAATCCGGTTAAACAGCCAGATATTCGCTTTTCGTCCTCTCAATCGCGTAAACAACACCTGCACCGCGAGAAGGCAGTGAGTAGAACTTTCCTGGTAGGGGGTTGTATATGAGTGACCATGTAAGAGCATTTCGAGAGGGAGAGCGGACTCCCCACCCTCGGCCGTACCAGGGCATTTGGGGGCCAGTTGTCCCAGGGAAACACCTTACTGCTGTAATGATTCTACTCTCGGGCATTCAATCAGTGCTTTCAGTCTTACCGTTCTCCAACCAATCTGCCTGGTGTGGTTGGACCTAAAGAAACGCTTTCCAACCAATATAACTCGGTCGAGTCACAACAAACAGGCCCGACCGCCATGTCAAGGTAGCAGGAACGGTAGTGGAACATTGGAGACACAAAGATAGATAGCTACAGTATTAAGGAAGTGTCTGTACTCTTATTCTTGTGTCACAGTAATTTAGTGGTAGGAGTGGGCCACGATCTTAAAACCAGGGTCCAATACCGTACGTTTATAACTAATGGGTTAAGAACTATAAGGGCCTTAAGATGGACACGTACCAAGTTGGATACAATTATGCTCATCACGGTATACATAATTTTAGTGAGATAAAGACTTAAAACCTACGTTCAGGTTGTAAGCCTCTATCCCAAAAGAGAATTGGACAGATGTGTGTAATTCCAGAAGTTCGAGGTTTACCCTACACAGAGGGGCCTAAGAAGTTAGACCTCTTTACTCTGTCCTGCTACACATTAGGATGATCTGATTTTGATGCATCAAATATTTAGGAACGATTCCGGATCTGACATATCCTCCATTTTTCTCACCAGATTAGGACAACTCACAGGATATCGCAGGGGAGTACAGAAACCAAGAACGAACAAAATAGCTGCGGTACACAGATCTTCACGAGTCATCAACTCTTGAAATCTAATACCTGAAGAAATGATTTCGCCGACCTTCTATTCTCGATAAACAGATCTTAATCTTACGATAATCTAACTAGTCATAATGTTCAAAACAGAGTTCTTAATCAGTGTTAGAAAGTGAGACTAGAATTTAAGGTAAAATACTAGAACCATGGTTTTCATTACGAACTGACATCAGCTATAACGCGAGAATACTTTGTAGTCATACGAATGGATGGATTCCACGCAAAAGATCCTAGAGATACTACATTAAATCTAATTGGTTTGCCCATGAAGTTTAGTTTAACCCTACAAGCGGTCTGAAGTCTGTATAAGACCAAGTGACTCACCAACAATAAATCCGTTAGTTTTTGCTGAGAATAGAAGGCGTAATAACCACAAAACATATCTAAAGTGTCTAAATTCACACTAAAGCAGAACAACTATGTACCTGATAAATAAACAATAAACAAAACAACAACAGTATTAGCTATGAGTTCTGTTTACTCAAAGTGCAAATTGTCACAATTAATCTTGTGAAGGCCGGATGAATTCAATGGGTTCCTCGTAATATTTTGCATAGAAATAACTCACTAAAGTGATATACAACACCGTCATAAATAGTACTCCCAAAACTCCTTTATGATCATTCCTCAATTCAGTGGCGGACATCATAGATTCACGATCAGAATGCTTCGCCCAGAACTCATTTAACGTTCGGTTGTGTTGTTTTACATAGAATGATTTAAAACTGTCTGTGCTTCTGTCTTTTACAGAGTCAATTGTGTAACCGTCCTTAGAGAAGTGATGCACGCCGCTGCCTATCGTATGAATTAGGCCACGGTCATATTCACTCCGTTTAACAGGATTTCCAAGGATTTCATAAGCTTTTGTCAACTCATGAAACTTTCTCTAGAGTTAGGATCATCAGTCACATCAGGATGGTATATTTTTGACAGTCGATAGAAGGCTTCTTTGATGTCTTGGTGAGTCGCATTGCTTGAGAGCCCGAAAACACTATACAATGAGTCAACTTTTGAGGAGAATACAGCTGATAATCTGTGATTGATACTGGTATATACGAGTGAAGGAAATTTCGTAGCTAAATGAAACTAAAGTTGGCGAGATGAAAAGTTCACAAACAAAACGTTACCATTTAAGTTACCCGCTACGGTTTAAATAGTCCAAATCGTTCTGGACGGAATAGAAGAAGCTTTCGCTTAACGGGCTTCCATGTCTAGTAGCGGTGGATCACCGATACCTCCAGGCAGGAACTTAGGTATATTATCGATAGAAGAGAAGAATGAAAAAAGCTGTTGAACCACAGTAAGATACTGTCCTTTGTCTTTAAGAATATGTCAAGTTTTCTACTAAAGGACTCCTGGGAAGTCGCTTGAACTAACTCAGACGGCAGCGAATTCCGGTATCTGACCGCTCTGCCGCGCTGTATCTCCAGTTTCCGAGTGATGCCCCTAAGTTTTTTGTTAGGATTAAGCTTAAGTAGGTGTCTAAGAGGATGTCCAGAAGTGTTTAGGATGCTGTAAGCCACTAGAATGTCACTTCTAAGATGCCCGTACTATAATGGGTAAAAGTTCAGTGATTGGAGGCAATCTTCATAAGGCATAAATTTGAATCCATGAACTGATTTCGTGACTCATTGGACATGGATCCATTGGAGATGTTCCAATTTTGAAGTGAGAGAGGAAATTCTATATTTCCATGCTATAAGTGGGGTTGAGTAAAGATATTAAAAATGAAATAAGAAGTTCTATCGACGGACTGGCCGAAAATGCACTTCAGCGTTGACAGTGCGTGATTTGCTCGGAAGGCACTTTTGTTTCAGCTAGCGTAAGACTTCAGATCATAGGGTATTTACACTTCCAGGTCCTTTTCAACTTGGAATACCTTTAGAGAGGAGCTACACAAGTTGTATCCACAGTCCGTAACATGACTCAGATGGACTACTTTACACCTTGAGGTGTTAGAGTTAAGTACGCTGTTGTCTGCCCGACTTTGAAGTCGAGTCAGATCCTTCCAAACTACCAGCTTACCATTATGGTTGTAAACTTCTCTCTAGAGTTTCACACTGTCAGAGAAAAGTAGTAAATCCGACGATACCTGCTGTGAAAGATCGTTCATATAAAATGAGAGAAGAAGAGGTTCTATTACCGAACCCTGTGAAACCGCACCAAAACACTCCGTAGCCTGAGAAAAAGTGAAGTTTACCCTGACTTTAAAAATTCACTTATTCAAACATGAAGTAAGCCAGTCAATTATTAGAGACTCGATACCTAATCGTTTGAGTTATTGATACGAAGTATGAATGATCTCACCAAAAGCTCTCGGGAGGTAAAGATGTTTGACGTCAACCTTCCCCTTGAGATCAAGGCTGGTTGTCCACCTGCCACCAAAGTCAGTAGGTTGGTTATACAAGAGTGACCTTTTCTGAGATCGTGCTGTTGGGATGAAATAATTTTATAGATAACAAATAATCGTGTATGCCATCACATATCAGGAACTCCATAATTTTTGAGGGTATAGAGAGAACCACCGGTCGGTAGCTTGAAGGTTCGTTGTATCGACCTCGTTTCAGAATTTGTGTGATGTGAGCAAGCTTTCAATTTTTGAGTAATGTGCCTCGGCTTAGCGAGTGTGAGAACATCATGCTAAGCGGTGTTTCCAGGATTGAAGCTGCTTCGCTCAGTATAGCAGAATGAACCATAATCAGGCCAGGAGAAGTGTCTTGTTTAGGTGCTTCAGTTTCCGGTACGCCAAGTCATCTCCCATTTTCACTTCTGGAAGTACTGTGCAGTTGCAGATAAGGCTTCACTCAACATAGTTAGTCTGGGTTGGTTGAAATGTCTGAACACTGTTCTGCCAGAAGGTTAGCGGCATCCCCGTCATTGTTGGTCGGGTTATTTGGACCTAGCAGTTGATAAACTCCGGTTTTGGCTTGTCGACGGGAGGCTGCATCACGAAAAAAGCTTTTGAGGTAGGAGACGAATTTATCGGTAAGCTTTATGTGGCACTGAAACTTATCTTCTCTTATTGCATTTATGTGTATGTTTCTTGTTTTTCTGAACTGCCTGTATGCGCCGTTGTCACCAGTTCGTTTATATTCCGCCCAGCAGTAAATTTTACGGCTTAGCAAACAAAGAGTATGGTTTTTGATGACTGTAAGTTGCTTTTAGATTTCGGAGACCGTTGGCGGAACAGACTAATTTGATGATGATGATGATGATATTACTACTACTGCTACTAGTACTACTGTTACTGCTACTACTACTGCTACTAGTGTGGTGTGTGCTACTTATAATGACATAATCAGTTTATGATTTTAGGCGTGAACAGAAGGTCTGGGAGCAGAGAGACAAGAGGACTGAACAGTAAAGAACGGAAGCAGGATGCAATTAGTATGAAAATGCAAGAACAATGAAGTCTGAGTAATAATGAGACAACTGGTGGACATTTTGCAAATTAAGCATTTACTTTATGATTGTTAGATTTTATTAAAACGTCCTGTAATTTTGCATTAAATACATTCGATTGTCCCCACTGGTGTTCTTGTTCACTACACCAGGACTGAAAAGTTGTCATTTAGGAATTTTTCGTTTGAAAATACGCAGTCTAAGCGCGACGGCGTCTGAATGTTTTTACAACGATTTGCCCACTTCATATTTTTGAATAATCTCAAACCTTCAATGAGGTAGATTTTTCACCTCCAATGTATGTGTATGTAGAATTATAGTTTACTATGATATTAGTACTGCTCTAATAATAGACCTAATCCTAAATTTGTAGATTTGTCATGATATAACTGCCTAATCTATAAGATCTTACGTGGAAGTCACACCATCGACTACACCAACTCACTGTATCGTATCAATTACCAATACAGGATGTAGAACAAGGTTAGGCTATAGAAAGAACAATATATTTAATATGAATAGAAGATATAAGGTAACATTCAGCAGAGACCACGCCTGCATGGCCGAGCCATGCCACTCGACCAACTTCAGTCCATTCAATTCATTGTTCGCGCCTTCTTCACTGTTAGGTATTTATCCGCGTTAAATATTGAATATCTATTTTCTGAGTAGTCTCGTGTTCACGGCTTTGTGGATTGTGTGGCTATTGTCCAATGCCACTACACTACTCCCCCACCAGAATCAACGTGATGTTGGTTCGATACCAAATTGGATGGGATCGTCGCGCGCCGGAGGTTACCAAGGATAATAAGAATCCTCCGTGTGTTGGTAAGCTGAAAGATAAATCAAAAAGAAAGCGGCAGCATCTGGTCGGGAAATACATGTAATAATTTTAAAATATCTGCCTTCATGCTTAAAACGCTTGAAATGAGAATTTGGGTGAAGATTATTTGAACTATAAAGAATGGCATAACAATAATAATAATAAAACGATGCGTGGTAATAGCCGTTGGTTAATAACTTAACGTATAGGTAGTATTTTTTGTGTTTAGAAGTATTAAACTGATGAATATTGTAGAAATATTAATATTGGTATTAGTTTTGGTTTAAATTATGAAATCAAATAACGATTATGCCGGTAAGTTGTCCATATAAGTTGAATTCCAATTGCATCTGTATTAGTAGGCTAACTGAAGGAACAAAAGTATACCGTGGAGAAGAATTCCAACTAGTGTTCCAGTTAGTTTGATACGGTTTATTTAGTTACGGCGAGATTTTATCAACCTCATTTTTACTTGACCGTGATAGAATTTAGTAATACTACTAACACACATGAATGGTTATCAAAACAAAATCTAAATACGTAAGTGATAATTATATGAGTTTGGGACAGATGGCTAAGAACAAATCGTTAAACATGAGTGTGTTCGTAAGAGACATGCTCTAGACTCAATGTTCTGATCTGCGATAGACTATTTATTTATACTTATACTTGCCGGCTGATTGGGCATACAAGTTAGTTGCACGTATGCGGTTTATCATAAGGCAGAATACGATTTAAATGAGATATGGTGATTATAAGTTACTGAAATCACTTAAGCCTGTGTCACATTACTAAGTGATGTGGTGCTGTAAGATGTACTCGGCCAAATACGTTTTTAAAAGATGATTTACCGTGAGTGATGCTCATGTGATTATCAGGGAGAACATAAGTTGTAACCAGGGGAGTACACTCCCAACTCATGTCTATGATAATGGCTTGAACCTTAGTCAGTGTTGGGGTAAATTCGACATTGATGTTTTCAGTTTGCAGGAGGTTCGCTCGACTGCTTATATTGATTATTTGCATGCATTATTGTGTCGCTAAACCATCAATTAGACTGACAAGGTTTTGAGATATTTACTGAATGAGCAACTGATAGAGAAACATACTGTAATCATCTGTGATGGATGAAGATACCAAGAGAACAACACCATTGATAATTATAAGTCAACTTGTTGACCAATTTCGTTAATAGTTTCATTAATTTTATCAATCATATTACGTGATTGTCAAGTCATGACATTGCTTTATGACGATATCCTGAAACTATTATGTTTGACTAGTTATAGTGTTGATTGAGGATTAGTCAGTGGAAAAATAGGTATTGTTGCTTTATGTGATTCGAAATTATCAGAAATTTGTAACGTTAAAGAATCCGAGACGCCTGATTTAATTATAAATTTTAATTCAGAAAGATTCGTTTAGTGTTAATTCTAGTAGGCTACGGAGTTTTGATTTTAAACGTCTGTTTAGCAAAGAGCTACCTGGGATTTAGTTATTTTACTAGTGCAGTTGATAGTACCTAAATTTTTAATCTTATTATCTAAACTATGTTCGCATTTTAGGCTGCTAATATGATAAACCAATCCATAAACCCAAATACGATTAGCAACAACGACTATGATGGGTTTATTGATAAATGTTAAAGGCGATCCAGATGATTTCTAAATTTAGAAGACATGGAGATATAGTGTAACGTATGTATGGGCCAGGTTAACATGCAGGTTGTTGACGTATATGACGATTTAAAAATAATGAACATGACCAGAAAATAGTTTTAAAGTTTAGACTGCTTGTGAAACTTCAGGCAGGAATATGATGCGTTATAAACATTCCATAAGGAGTTACTGCATTTAGCCTAGGGACACTTACAAATATATAGCAAGAGGAACCGGAAAACATATA